AAATTTCTCCTCCAACCGAACCTCTCTCCCCCGGGAAAAAAAAAAAAAAAAAAAAAAGTGAAATGACCAAAGTACCCTCATCATCTTTTTCTATGTCAATAACTCCGTAATTTTCAATTATCCCACGTAATTTAAAATTTTCATTTCTATTCCTTTTTCATTTAAATAAATTACAAAAAATTAAATTAAAATTGTTCTCACCATTTATTTCATTTCAAAAAATATTTAATCTTAAAATAATAAATATTAATTAACATATATTATTTTTTAGATCCGAAAATTTAATTCTTAATAGAATTAAAATTATGTTTATTTAATATAAAAGGACTAAAATAACCCTCTCTAATTTAAAAGCTTGGAGTGCCACGTGATGAAAAAAAAATAAAAATTAAAGAAAAATTAAGAGGCGAGATGGGCAGATATGACGCCACGTGGCAGCGTTGTTTCCAAATATGGCTGTCGGTGACCGTTGGATCTGCGGGGAGCCTGTTGGAAGCGAAACGGAAAGAAAAGCTTGGGAAAGTTGACAAAATGAATAATAAATACTGATAGCGCTTTTTTTTTTCTTTTTTCCTTTTTTTTCTTTATCTCTTTTTTCCATTTTCTTTAATTTAATATTGTAAAATTTAGAAACAATAATTTATTAGAATAATAATAAATATGAAATTGATTTTTTTTTTTTTGTTAAATTATAAATTTAATTCTAAATTTAAATAATTATTCCTCATTTAACTTGTAGGCTTAATATATAATTTTCTAATTCAATTTATATTAGTTCAAAATTTTCAATTTTATTTTTTGGGTTAATTATATTCTAATTATACACCGTTGTAAAAGTAAATAAATAATAATCATTTTTAGACTAATCATATTGGTTTATAGTCGTTATTATTATTATTTTATTTTTCTTTTATATTGTAAATAATCAATTTAAAATTCATTATCTCTCGAGTAATTTTGAAATGATTTGATTCTAAAGTGATTGACAAGAAATCACTTATAAATTAATCTATGGTAATTTAATATTTATAGAATTATGCAATAAAATTAAATTAATATTTTTTTTCTTTGTTCAACAACATTCGAGCGTAAGAAGATTCAAACCTCAGACTATCTTTATCTTTTTAACTTCGCATAACACTTTTACTCGGGCGGAGACATAACATTTTACCAAATTTTATGATTTATCTGTTCTTATTTTGTAATCGTTTAATTGACATATAATTAATTTTTTTAAAATTTTATTAACTATATAAATATAATTATAAAATTTTAAAGTGTTATAAATTATAATGTAATTAAATAATTATTGTCAACTTCTGACATATATTTGTGAAAAATTCAAATCTTTGTATTTTTTATTTTTAAAAATAAAAAATAAAATTTATTATTGACCTAAAAGTCAACTAAGTTAAAATGGGTAAAAAAGACATTTCCCACCCAATCTCACCCTTCAACATCCCTAGCAATCATAATCAAAGGGTAGGGAGAGAAAAAATGAATAAAATTATTTATTTTCCATTTATTGCTACACAATTGATATTAGGTATTTGATAATTTTTTTTAGACAAAGACATTTACCTAATAAATTTCAAATATAAATTAAATCAAAATTTAAATATTTAATATTCAAATCTTGTCAACCAAATCTATAATAAAATGTTTGCAATATTTGTCGGTCAAAATAATATATATATATTTTATCATTAGTCCTCGAACTCTGGACACGTGGAGTTGGAAAAATCTGGACTAATCCGTTGGGTTGGTGACCCGAGCAACTCGAACAAAGTTGACATCTCAATCCAACTCAATTCTCTATTTTCGGGTTGAGTTAGGTTAGGTTGTCGAGTGATCCTTTTTATTATTATTTAAAAAAATCATACTTATTTCGGGTTGTTATAGTAATAATTAAAATCTTATAAAATTTAAATATCAAATATTTATAAGTCACGTGTCATTAATCTTCTTAAAAATAGAGTATAAGTTATAACCGTATTTCTAGGTTGTTCGGGTTGACATGACAAAAAAAAATGTCAACCTGTAAATCGAATAAAAAATGTCAGTTTTCAAAAAATTCAACCCAATCCAAACCAGAAAAAAAAAAAAAAATCCAAACCGAACTTAAATTACACCAAACAAAAAAATATTTAATTTTGAAATTTCTATAATTGAGCTATCGACAAAATTGTATAATATAAACAGTGAGTTCAATTTTTAATCGTCGATCATTTTATATTCAAAATTGCTCTAATTCATATGTGATTTTGGTTCATTTATGTATTTTTTTTCAGTTGAATATAAACGTAACATTATTGAATTATTATTAAATTATGAAATAATAATAAAAAATAGTGATTAGAATATAGTTTATTTTGTAGGATAAAATAAGTGAAGTAGTTGATTAAGGTTGGAAGATGGGAATTGGGAAAGGAGTGGGCGTCCAATAAGGCACCATTTGTAGCATGTTTGTGGACGTGCAGGCAACTAACCCAAACCTTTTGTTACTATTTTCATGTCGTTGGTTTGTTACGGAAATCGAGCTCCTTCTCACCTAACCCAATTTTTGTTCGTGAGAGGCTAGAAAGAGGAACAAAAACATTCTTTATGAGCGTGTGAAAATTTCTCTCTAATAGACATTTTAAAACCACGAGACCGACGGCTGTACATAACAGGTCAAAACGGACAATATCTACTAGGATAGAGCTTGAACGATTACAAATGGTAATCAAAATCAGGGTGTACAAATAAGACTGTTGGGCCCTAAAGAGGTGGATTGTGAGATTTCAAATCGGTTGGAAAGGGGAACAAAATATTCTTCGTAAGGATATGAAAACGATAAAAACGTTGGGCCGTAAAGAGATGAATTGCGAGATTTCACATCAGTTGAAGAGGGGAGCAAGACATTCCTGGCAAGGGTATGACAACCTTTCACCAATAGACACATTTCAAATCTATGAACTAGAGAATATCTACCAGTAGTGCTTGGGGTTGTTACACGAGCCGTTTAAGTATGAATAGTTAGCTGGACTGTTTATTCCGTATTTTTATACTCACTCATTTTTTTTTTTTTTCCGGTTCATGAATTTTCGAAGCAGTGGTATGGGGTTTCAGATCCTTTCAAATCGCAAAATTCTGAAACAATAATTTTATTTATTTCATTTTGGGTTGATTTTGAGCTGAATCAAGTGAAAATAATTATAAATAATAATAAGTTTTTAAATTAAATCTTGTCCCTGTGAAAATGTAGAGATTCGAACCTAAAATCTTATAAAGAGTATCCGACAATCGCATTTTAAGAAAATTAATCTATGATTAAACTTTATACTAAAAATTAGAGTATTAAAAATATATATATATATATATATATATATATATATTTTAGTCCAACCCAAAAAAAAATATATAAAAATTTAAAACAATTTCAAATTCTACGTATTTATCTAATATTTTTTTACTCAAAATTTTATAAATAAATAATTAAATTTTTATAAAGTATATGAAAAGAATTGAGTTAGTGGCGTGATAAGGGGCAGTTTGAAAAGGATGACAAAGTCGAATTAAAAATTATTAAACAGTTTATAAATTGAAGTGAAAAGCCATTATTATAATTAATCAAATTATAAACATAATATTTTTAAAATAATTGTAAAATAATTATTTATATTATTTTCCCTTTTCAATTCCTTTTATTTTTTTTTTATCATTTTTTAATATCTTCTAATTGCACGGCTGCCAATTATTTGATGGGTCCATTCCTAAACTAATTGTCTTAATTTTTTATTGCCTTTCTCATAATATCCACCAATATTAATTAATAAAAACAATTTTTTTTTTTTAATTTTCAAAATTTAAAAAGAATTGTTCTATGTTAATACGAGTCTCGGGAGGGGTAAGAACGTCTTTCCATCTCTTCTCTACCGTTCTTCAATGAGATTCATAGCCCATTAGTAAAATTTTGTTAAATTAAAAATTATTTTTTTAATTTTTAAAAAACCAAAATTAAAAATTAAAAATTCATTTCCAATACATTAACTTTAATATTATATCTTCTACGTATATTTTTTTTTTATTATCTAATTATAAGTCATTCTTTATATGATTTCTTAAATATGGATAAAGAGTTACTTGAATATCAATAGAAAAATAAAAAAATAAAAAAAAATAAAAAAATTCTTTTTAGAATATTTCTTTGCTTGGTTGTCACGGCAAGCCGCTGTAAAGATAACGCCTTTTTATTTTGCTAAATAACAGAAATTATAGTTTATTTTTATAATTGTTTTTATCTTCTAGTTTGATATGCTCCATTTCACAGTTAATATTTTAATTTATTATAAAAAAAAATCTTATGTTAAAATTAAAATAAAAAAATTTATTTAATTTGATAATTATTTTAAGAAAAATTGTTAACGGGTAGTTTTTTTTAGAATAAATTAAAGAATAGGAAGTATGGTTGATAATTGATATTAGTGTAGAAGTCATAAAATGTGGAAGGTAAAGTCGCCACACGTTTTGAATAACTTTTTATTCGTTAGATAATAGCATAGGCTAACAAAAATAATAAATAAAAACTATTTTCATCGTTAAGTTTCATAACGTCTAAATATTTTAGAATATTTGGTGGAAAATTGATACGCTCGTCTAATTTACAATATTTGGTGAAAAATCGACTTGAAACAATATCATGTTATTGACCTTTTTGGTGAAAAATTGATCTGAAACAATATCATGTTATCATGATTTCAAAGAATATAATCCAAAAACAATATCATGTTAACGACCTTTTTGGTGAAAAATCGACCTGAAACAATATCATGTTATTGACCTGACACAATATCATGTTATCATGTTTTCAGAGAACATAATCCAAAAACAATATCATGTTATCGACGTGAAAAATCGACCTGAAACAATATCATATTATCATGTTTTCAGAGATTATAATCCAATTAAAATTGGAGACTTCCGAGTAAAATTGGAGGACTTTAATCTAGACTTAGACTTAATCCAAGTGTTTTCTCAAGTGTTATGTCTTAGTGAAAATTATCTGTCTTTGGACAACTAGTTCTGATGAAACTATTCACACTAAACTATATCATTTAAGCCTCCAAGTAGCCTAGTTGAAAGCACCCTCTATTTGAATTTGAGAGAAGTTATCAAATAACAGAGCGCCATGTGTCGGCTGCATGGAATTTCAGAAATCAATAGCTCCATACTATGTTTCTAGTATTTCTTCGGTCCTAAAGACAAGTCAGATATGCTGTCGATTAAGCTATCAAGTAAATCATCATTGAAATCTTTCAACACACTGAAATTACTATCCTGTAAACGGACTGATTCAGTAGAATTTTCAGAGAGAGCTTTGTTCAGCTGCTCGACGAGATCGTTTTCGATTGGAGGAAGGTTCAAATCCCAGACCTGGAAAATATCATTGATTGGAGGCTCAAATCCAATTTCTGGTAAATCATGGCTAGATTCAGTTTGAATACTCTCCTTCCCATCTACCTCCTCTTTGTATGTAGGTAGAAATGGATTCTTGTTAAAAGATAACGATAGAGAAGTATCGATGTCGTCATGGTGTTGTTGATCTTCTGAAGCCATTCCTGTTTCATTCATACGATCATCGCTATCTCTCGAGAAAAATGTAGGCTTCTTCACATTATTAGAAAGAAGCATGTTGATGTTGATGTCATCACTAGTACCTCCCGGAACATTATCCTCCTCTTTGTAAGTGGGTAAAAGTGGATTCGTGCTAAAAGACAATGAAAGAGAAGAATCGACATCGTTCATAGGATCATCGCTATCTCTTTCTGTTGACTTCTTCACATTCTTAAACCGAAGCATGTCAACGTCGACGTCATCGTTAGTACCTCCTGGAACATTATCACTTACAGCAAGAGGAGATTCGAAACCTTGAGGATACAGATCAAAGACTTCTAACAAGGCATCCTTTATATGGTTCCAATTGCCATCTAAAATATCTGGTATCTCTTTAATCAGACAAGAATCAGCCCAAGCAATGTCTTCAGGAGTAAGATCATCGATTTGCTCCTTAGATTCTTGTCCACTTTCAAGATCAGAAGAATCAGATCCTTCTAACATGCTGTTCCATACAACCATAAGTAGACATTTATCAGAAAGGATGAAAAAAATCTCAGAGACCATCTCTTTTAACTACAAAACATTTAATGATGGCCCTGCTGCACAGTCAGTAGATAAAGAATGGTTCACGAAAGGGTGTTGTGAATATATTCCATTCCGAGTGCATCAAGTAAGTAAAGCCATGATAAGGGCAAGGGGGAGGAAGAAGGTAGGGCCCAAATTCCAAGAAGTAGAACTAAAAATAATAGGGGAAACATGAAGAACAGGTTCATTAATGATCGCCTTCTTTAGGTGATGAGGCAGAAAATGAATCAAAACAAGAAAGAAGGACCAATTCCACAAGCTTAAGCGATATCCCCATGGGTATGTATACATTTATCAGAAATGCTTTAACCTTTAATGACTGGAAATAAATTACTCAAACCATTATTTTCAACTAAAAGTAACTCTACCAGTTTCAGTTCACAAAAACGAGCCAGATCCTAGTGTTTTGTAAATTGCAATATCTTTTAGGTCAATATATGGAGGCTCTGTTGCCCAATGGGTTAGTATAAATCCAAAACTATGGTTTATCCCAATTTTCTTACTGGCTGTCAAATTATTCCATTCACAGTCAATCCAAAACAAAGGAAATAAAGCCATACTAAGGGGAAGGGAGAGGAAGTTGGTAGAGCCCAAACTGCAAGAAGAAGCATAAAAACAGTGCAAGGAAGCTTTAATGATAGGTTAATTAATGATCATAAATTTTAAGTGAAAAGGAAAATAAAGAGGATCAAAACAAGAACAGAAAGACTAATTCCACACAAAATTTCCTATGATTACAAAGATTAATCTAAGAACCCTACTTGTTATGGAATCACGAACATCCATAGTGGTATAATATTGTCCACTTTGAGCATAAGATCTCATGGCTTTACTTTGGGTTTCCCCAAAAAACCTCGTACCAATGGAGATATTGTTTTTTACTTATAAACTCATGATCTTCCCCCTAACTCCTCTCCAAACAATCCTAAAAAATCCTCCCCTTGAATAAAATACACCATAGAGCCTCACCTGAAGCCTATGGAGCCCTCAAACAACCTCCCCTTAGTCGAGACTCAACTCCTTCTCTGGAGCCCTTGAACAAAGTACACTCTTTGTTCGACACTTGAGTTATTTTTTACTACTCCTTCGAGGTTCACAACTTCTTTGTTCGACACTTGATAATTCTATTGACATGGTTAAGTTAAGGGCATGACTCTAATACTATGGTATGAAATCCCGAACCTCCACAATGGTATAATATTGTCCACTTTGAGCATAAGCTCTCGTGGCTTACTTTTGGTTTCTCCAAAAGATATCATACCAATGGAGACAATGTTCCTTATGAACCCATGATCTTCCCCTTAACTCCTCTCCCAACAATCCTCTAACACAACCCCAATTAAAACTTAACTACATCACTCGTCTCCCTCCAAATGAATAACATATGCCCTACGGTCTCCATGTCTGTCAATTTCAATTTCATCGACTAACCTCAGTCCTTGCCCTCTCCTCTTTATTATTAATCTGAATACTGTAAGCCTCGAACAAAGAAAAAATCACAAACATTTCTATGAACTGAAATCAACGCAGCAAATCAAATAATTGTACTTTCGACTTTTAAAATTTCAAAAATACAATGAATTCTCGTAAAATTAACATAAGAAACTAGCAAGTGACTGTAAAATACAACAAATAATCCACAGATGGCGTGAACGAGATAGATGAACTGTAAATGAATCAATTATGACAGTAATGGATAGAGAAAGAAAGATAAAAGGAAAGGGATCGGAGAACCAACCTAATTGAAACCCTAAAAAATTTGACTCGAAGAGGGATTGCTTGTTGTGAAGAGAACGAGACGACAGTAGAAAGACTCCCGATAATGCGGCGGCCGGCCGTGCCTCCTCCCTCAAAAATACACTTCATAAACAATTAAAAAACTTAATATAAATATTTATATTTATATTAAAAAAAATAAATTAGTTAATTTAATCTAATTATAATATTTAAATTGTAGATTTTTTTTAATTAGTAAAGATTAATTATATTAAATTTTAAAATTTTAAAAATTATGTTGGTATAATATATATGTTTATTTATGAAATAAATTGATTTATTATGATTTGTTTTTATATTTTTTAAATAAATATTATATTAAATAATAAAAAATTGAAAATAACTATTTTTTTTAAAGAATAATAAATGAAAAAAATTACCCACGACGAATTTTATGGATATTAGGCCCAAGAGGAATGTGAAGGCTGAAGCAAGGCCCATAATATTAATGGGCTTTAACAGTTGCCAAATCGAGGCCCAATTATGCCTCTCATCTTTACGATCCGGATATGCATCTTTTCGTCGTCTTCACGTCACAAATCTTCGTTCTCGAGCGGCTGTTCTTCCGCGAATCGTCTCTCAGTTGCAGCTTCGTTCGTAATTTAACATCTTCAACCATTTGAGCTACGGCAATATTGGCCACAAGAATAGAGCCATTGACATTAGGTTCGTTTCTCTTTCATTCTTGATTCACAGTTTTGTTTTGTCGTCTCATTGCATTTCTAGGGCTAGAGGCTTAGGGTTCATTATTCTTTTCTGTAGTTCATGTAGACGCTTATTCTACACCATTGGAATGAATCTTATTTTTTTGTATAAATATTGTTTTCGCGATTCCCGATGCATTATGTTGCCTCTGCATCATTCTTCGGGGTTGTGAACAGATAAGGGGTGAAGTGGTTTATAAGTTCCAGCGCTGTAGATTACATGAATATTTTCTCTCTCCCAGTATGATGTGACGCCAACCGATCACGTCTGAATAGATCTAATGATTTGTGGCAGTTGTAGTTATTATTGGTGTTAGGTATGGTAATTAGTTCGCCGTGTTAGCTTTGTTCGTTCTTATTAGAAAAATATCTATCCAGTTTATGTCAATGTAGTTTCTAACATTATGTTGGAATGGGCTAATTATGGGACTAAGGTTGATAACTGTAACGGTTGCCCTAATGGACTCTATAAATTTCACTGCAAAAATAGTAACTAGTGGAAGAGCTGCTTCAAAAATGACAACTCGTGGGATCATCAGTTGTAAACTGTGGCAATTATAAAGGTTTTGATATTAATAATTTAATGGTAATAATAGTGAAAGAAGTTGATGAAGCAATCTGGAATGTGAAATTTATTGGACGTTGTTTGTGGATGATCCACTACTGGGTTAATTCTTTGCTTGGTGATGTGTTGGTGATATTCACTGTTTACGAGCCATACTTGAGAGAAGAATGTAGTTGAAGAATTGGATAATTATTCTTGGATGTTGGGGGGATGTGGTATTTACTTTGTTGGAATTATTCCTTTGTTGAATGGGATGGGCACTTGGTGTTTTCTGTTTGAAGGGAAGGAAAGAGTTTGATTTGGATTCGTCGATATGAATTTGGGTGTGTGGTTGTTATGTGGACAGGGAGGAGGCAGCATTGGTGTAATATTTTGGTGGTGGTGATATTTTCACGTATCAGCGGGGATAAGTGTTGAAGAATAAGTTTGGAAATGAGTTCGGATAGCAGGAGTCGAAGCAGGAGCAGAAGCAGGAGCCCAGTGGCTCGTAAGATCCGGTCTGATCGTTTTTCATATCGTGATGCACCATACAGGAGAGAATCACGTCGGGGTTTCAGGTTTATTATTCTGATAAATTATTTATTTCTCATATCTGATATGTAGGCTGGGTAGAATCTGCAGATGTATGAGTTTTTTTAATGCAGTCATGTTATTTTTGTAATCCATTTCTGGCTGTGGAGCTATCTCCCCCCTGTTTAGATTGGGTATATTTCATTCAACCATCAATTAATATCATTTCTTCTCAATTCATACACAGATACACATGCACACACATGGTCATGGAGTCATATCTCTTATGTTTTAAAGGAATTATATGTAACTATTGCATGATTGTGCTATGCTGGTTCTGAATGTTTTGTCATTGATCAAGTTGACAAATCTCTGCATTAATCATGCTTGAGCAGACATGGAAGTCTCCAATACAGCTGCAATGGATATAATATTCATGTTATACTAATTGTATGGTAGTAGTATTTGATGCTGATGTTTCTGTTTTTTGGCATGATTATTTGTATAAAAAAACGTTGTGGTTTTATCATGGTTTAGTTTTGTCATTTGTGACATGACTTGGTGAAATTCATATTGCAACTTTTCTATTAATGGTTTGTTATAAGATTATAAACTGCTTTCTTCATGGATCCTTTTGTTCTGGCTATGAGCTGGTGAGAAAAGCTGAAGACTTGGGGATATTTTACTGTTCAAGGTCAGAGTGGAGTATTGATTAGTTAGGATAATGTCTGCGTGTTGACTGTGTGTTCACCAGTGTAACTGGGAAAACTTTTGAGTTGTTTACTCCCTAAAACTCCATTTAATATATATATATATATATATATGGGGGATTTACTATTGCGGAGGGAGCTTATAATGTTGTGGGTGAACCTTTCTTTTTAATTTCTTCATTATGTTTATCTTTCATTTTCTCCTTGTTTGGCATGAAGCTGTAATCTTAATCTGATTTTGTCTCCAGTCGAGACAATCTTTGCAAGAACTGCAAGCGTCCTGGCCACTTTGCAAGAGAATGCCCTAATGTGGCAATTTGTCACAACTGTGGTCTCCCTGGGTAAGGGAACTTGATCTTATGCTTATTGCCTTTGCCGCTTGTTTGGATACATTTTATTGTGAGAATCCTCGTTTTGTACTAAACTAAGGGCGTGTTTGGATTACTCGCCCGTTTAAGCCTGGTTTTTAAAATTATTTTCAATATAATTTTTTTTTTTTTTTTTTTTTGCATTCTGTTAATTAGAAATGTGTTTTTTTGCTAAATATTTTTTAGATTTTCCTTTAATCATTTATGAAACAATTTTGGACAATCTATCTACGGTGTTTCTTCAATCTATCTTTACATTGATCCAACTTTTTAAGTGATTGTTATTTAGTTTGTGATTGTGATCGTTTCAGAAATGCCTCAACTTTTTTTTAAGTGATTGTGATGATATAAAATCACACAATAAGCTATGCTTGACATGTCTAAAATGATTTAACTTTTCAATGGTACTTAAAGAATAGTCGAGTTATTCCAAATATACATTAAATATTCACGATTCTACTTATTTTCTGGCATTGCAAAGGGTGGGTTGTTATTTTCCATTCTACTTGACATTAAATTTACGGATTTGGTCCTATGCTATCATGTCATTGGCGTGGAGTATTCAATCTTGTAGCCTCTAATCAACAGTTTCACCAATCTTAAAATTCAGAATTTGAGATTTGAAGTTGAGTCGAGTATATAATTGGGAGATACAATTGAAGCAGTTGTTCTGTCATTGAATCAAATTATAGTTTGCTTATTGGCATACATTTGATAGAACAATGACACTCGTTTTTCTTTATAGCTTACTTTTCTATGTATAAATTTGTGATACTGCATCTAGGCATATTGCTTCAGAGTGCACAACGAAGTCACTATGCTGGAATTGTCGTGAACCTGGTCATGTTGCAAGTAGCTGTTCAAATGAAGGTATCTGCCACACCTGCGGGAAGGCAGGACATCGAGCCAGGGAATGCACAGCTCCTCCGCTGCCACCCGGGGACTTGAGGCTTTGCAACAATTGCTACAAGCAGGGTCATATAGCAGCTGATTGTACTAATGAAAAGGCATGCAACAATTGCAGGAAGACAGGCCATCTTGCTCGCGATTGTCCAAATGACCCTATTTGCAACCTGTGCAATGTATCTGGGCATGTAGCCAGGCAGTGTCCGAAATCCAATGTCCTCGGAGACCGGGGAGACCGAGGCATCGGCAGTGGCGGTGGCAGTATACGTGGTGGTGGTGGTGGTTACCGGGATGTTGTGTGCAGGACCTGCCAGCAGCTTGGCCATATGAGTAGGGATTGCATGAGCCCTTTGATGATTTGCCATAACTGTGGGGGACGTGGTCACCTAGCATACGAATGCCCATCAGGTCGGTTTATGGAGCGTTATCCCAGGAGGTACTGAAGACGTGATTAGGAAGAGGCCTTCGGATTTTGCTTCGAGTTTAGACATTTTGGGAACTAAACTCTATAGATTGCTCTGCTCTGCTTGCTGCGTGCTGCTTGCTGCTTGCTGCTTACATGGGTAGTATTTGCTCATGTTGTTACCAAACATTGTTTTGTGGGTTAGACCATGAATTTTTAGTATTGTTTATCTTGCTTCTATAATATAATACGACTTCCTTTCAATGGTTCATTAGTTTAGTTTGTTGATTTCACTCTTAATGAAATTTCCTTGTAAAGTATGAACTTCGACTTGCATTTGAGATGCTTGTTATCAACGACGTTGTGAGTTGTGCTCATATCGGGTTATTCGACCTAGTTTGCATTAATTGAGAACAATAGTGTTATCAAATGAGGCATCGCACAATCAATTTAAAGATGTATGCACAACTTGTAAGGTGTATTTAGGACTAAAACATAATAAGTATGAAATTTCAAAAAATCAAATTAATAGAAATATCGAACAATAATCATTTATCTACCCCTTACAAATTATCTTTCTCTTTCACTTTAAAGTACTAACAGTCAAAACTAATTGTCAAAATTTTTAAATTCTTTGTTCTAATATTTAAGAGTATTAATGTTACTTTTAAAAGTTTATAAATATTCTTAAAAAGATGGTATTAACAATGGACACTTTACGAAAATACATTTTTTTAAAGTTAATAAAAAAATATTAATCATATTAATGAAAAATTTGAAAGTTTAGAGATATTTGGTAACCTTTTCTAAAAGTTTAATAATATTTTTAAAACAAAGTAATTTTTTTTTTCTTTAAAGTTTAAGGGTATTAGGCATTTTTTTTAGATAAAAATGCAAAATTTGAACGTATTTTTATTAACTAACTAAAAGAAAATTATAAAAACTAGTGGAACTTAAAATGGAATAGTCATAAGAAATCTAAATATTTTAACAAAAATATAGTAACTTAATTTTTTAAAATTAAAATTTTAATATAAAAGTAAGTGCGAGAAAATAATAGAAATAAATTTTTTTTTTGTTTATTTTAATTTAAATTTAAGATCATAATTCAAAATTATTATATATATAAAAAAAAAATTAAAAAAAATGAAAAAAAAAAGTCAAATTATAAAAACAAAGAAATCATCGAAGAGAGGGAGGAGCTAAGCGAAACTCAATTTTTTCTGCAAACGCTCTATTTGTACCGTAAAAATCTAGTCAGAGGGGGAAGTGGATCTTAAAACCCTAGGGTTTCAATTCCGGGCCATCCTAATTTTAATCCTAATTTTGTTTCTAAATGGAAGCCGAAGAGAACGATTCCTCCAAACATGACCAACCATCATCACCTCTTCTCTCCGTTGATGATGGCAACGACTTGGATGTTAAGTGTGACACCCATCGGGAGCTTCGCAGCAATGAAGAACAGCATTGTTTGTTCCAGTCCGCTATTAATGAAGTGGAGTTTCCATCCAATTCAAGCGTTGAATCCTTGCAGCCGAGCGATGCAATTCGTGGGGATGAGAGTCTTGTTGCAGAGACTTGTTTGGAGGTGGAGAAGAAGGATATGGTGGAGGAGACAGAGATAGCCGGGGTGAAGGCTTGTCGTAACGGTATTGAGGATATGGGGGAAGATTCAGTGAAGTTGGAGGTTGAACCGGATATTGCGGCGATGGGGTTATTGGGGGAAACGGTTTTCAATGATGTGAAAGAGGAGGATGCAGGGGCGGAGGAGGTGAAGGCTGTTGCTGAATTTGGAGAAGGTGACTTGTTATGTGAAATGGATTTGGTTGGTGGTGCTGAAAATCAGGTTGAGGGCAACGTTTTGATGGTGAATCTTCCAGACAATACTGTTGGCTGCGGTGAGACAGACACATGCTTGAGTGATGTTTTGGCTGAGCTTGCAGAAACGACTCCTTTTGTGCATGGTGTAGATACTACAGATGCAGCCAATTTGGTGGAGAAGAAAGAGGTGGAAGAAAATGCCGATGATCCCAAAGATTCGAAGGATATAGAGGTGGCAAAGCAAGAAAATTTTTCTATGGAGGATGAGAAATTAGGCGTCCCCGTGCAGCTTGTGGAGAAGTCCGAGTTGAAAGAAAGTTTGGTAGATGGGGCTGTGGTGGAGGAAGGAAGGACGGAGAATTTAGCTGACAGAACTGGTGAAACTTTGAAGATGGAGAATGAGTCAAGCAATACTGATGAGGTGGAGCTGGCGAATTTTGCTAGTGAGATTGATGGGGCGGTAACTATGGAGAATACTGAAGACAAGACTGTTGAGGTGGATGGAATGTGTTTGGAAGACAAGGCTGCTGATGCGACGACGATGTCGGGAAATTTGGCAGATGAGACCCCAGAGATCAAGGGAGTGCAAGTAACAGACGACAGCATTGAAATGTTGAAGATTGAGAACGTTGAAGATAGGGAAGCAGGGGTGCAAGAATTGGGTGTGGCTGATGAGAGTGCCGAAGTTGGAAAGATTGAGAATTTGGTAGATGAGACTGCAGAGGCTGAGAATGTGACAAACTACACAGCCGAATCAATGGAGAATCTGGACGACAAGACTGCACAAATGGAGGAAATAGCTATGGAAGAAGAGACTGAGGAAGCCGATGACAGGGTTTATTTGGTGGATGAAGGGATTGGATCAGAGGAGAATGATGCAAACATGACATACTTGGTGGGGGAAACAGAAGCAGCGGAGGAGGTTGAGGAGATGGATGTTACAGAGGAGGTTGATGAGGCAAGTAAAGGTAGCAGTGGGGCTAAAAGGAAGCGTGGAAAGAATTTTAAAGCTCCAGCTAGAGTGCCTTCTAGGAAGAAGGTGGAAGAAGACGTTTGCTTTATTTGTTTTGATGGGGGTGACCTTGTACTCTGTGATCGCAGGTTAGTTTTTTCAGTGGCATCCTAAACCATCTTTTTATTAAGATTTTATGTTGATCTTTTTTCTCTTGGTTCCAGAGGCTGTCCCAAGGCGTACCACCCTTCCTGTATTAATCGTGATGAGGCGTTCTTCCGAGCCAAGGGTCGATGGAATTGTGGTAATTTGCTGTCTTATATTACATATTCTGAGTAATTCGTTTTTCCTACATGGATATTAGCCTTTTTTAGCGTGTGTTCCTGATGTTTTCTTGTTCTTTTGGACCAAGATAAGAATGTTTTTTTGGGTGAAAAAGTTATTTCCATTTTCCTGATAAATTGCTTGTACCCTACTTTTATCCGGCCAGAATCTTTTATGATCTCATTCAATTCCGTTGTATTACATGGTGAAACCGAAAGCCACTATTTGGCCGTTGTGGGTGGAAAGGAATTAAGGGGTTTTTTCTTTTGTTTTTGTAAGGGTCATCGATAATTATCTTATTTGTTAGAGGGTTTTGTTTCTAGACCTTCATCATGGTGTTCCTTGGGGGTTTCTCGTTCTTTATTATTTTCTTTCTTTTCTGTAATGATTCCCTTTCACAAATTGAGTAACTAGTGAGTATTTTTTCTAAAATGTTTATGAAAAGGAAGTCTTTGCATCCAGACTTCTTGTCCTTTGCTTTTACAAAGGTCTATGTGCAGATCGCTGCAGATTATTATAATGTAGATTTTAACATCCAAATGACCTGCACTATGGTGTTCTGGAATCAGGAATCATATCGAGTCAGTTTTCCTCGTCGGTGTGGGTCTGGAGTTTGAGCTGCAGCATCTTCCCTCTGAATAAAGAAAGGATGGAGAGTGAAATTTTAGTCGCTCTACATTGGACTATATATGCATATGGAAAAATGTTGGAGGCTTAGTTGTTTATAAAATTGTACTGTGGAAGTGGAAATAGTTGTCAAATATTTCAATGATGGGACACAAGAAAATAAGTTTCTTTAAGAATAATAGGACTCCAAAAATTAAGGCAATATGATAAACAGGCATGTAACAAACAAAATGAGTTTCAAAAGAAGATAGTACAAGAAGAGACTCCAATTGTGAAGAATAATAAGGGATATCCCAATTTTTTTTTTTATTGAAATTATCTAGAGGGTTGAAATGTGCAAAACTAAACCCACTTCAAAGATGACCCCTCTGTTCTTTTGTAGACCTTCATGTTTCTCAAAAACCAAAAATTTCAACGAGTACCAAACTATTGTCTGCCAAAGGATTCTTGCTCTTATCTTAAAATGCATGTTCAATATAACTTCATCGCTGAAAATAGTGCAATAGAATTGGGAAGTATTCTACTTGACTGAAAATTGTAGCACGGATGATAGGACGTTTTTGTCTATCTTTACCAATGACAATTCTCCTTATTCTCGATACAACTAGCGAGTGGGGTAGGGGAAGGGGAGACCGTGTAGGTAAATCTTCATGGATAAACTTTTTTCAATTCTACACTAAAATTATCGTAGAAACTTTAGCTATTGATTTGGAAAATAAATTAGTATAGGGGTGGTAAAGGTCGCCATTTATGTTGGAAATCAAGAGGGCTGTAGCCTGTCGAGGTGAAAGTTCTGCATCATTTTCTTTCAAATAAGACTTCGAATTTTAACGCAATGACTCGTGTGCTGTGGATCATTTTTGTTTGTTATGCTGACTTGTTTTAAGATTATAGATTTTCTTCTCCATCTTTTCATAATCAACTCCCAATGTAATTGCCAAATTGGTGTGACTTTTTTGGTAATCCCTTTTGGGAGGATATAGGTTCAACACTGTTTTTTGATTATACATTAAGTGAGCTTCAAGAGTATACTTTTTACTAAACTTTTCCATCTATAAGTTAATGATTGAGCTTTTTTCTTATCAATGGAAGAGAAATAAAAATTTACTGAACAATGACATGCATATTGTACATATAAAGCGTTTCCTTTTCTTGTAAGCCTTCACTCTGTATGATTCTACCGTCATTCCCTCTGCTTATAGACTTGGAAATAATCTGGCCAATAATTTCGTACTTTTTCCCCCTCCTCTTTGCCTACTTTGTGAACTTTTTTTTATTTATGTTCTCATTCAAGGTTTTCTTTTATAATGATTTTAGGTTGGCATCTTTGTAGTAACTGTGAGAAGACTGCCCACTACATGTGTTACACATGTACATTTTCCTTGTGCAAGGGCTGCATAAAAAATGCTGTTATTTTGTGTGTTAGAGGTAACAAAGGCTTCTGCGAGGCGTGCATGAGATTTGTTATGTTGATTGAAAAGAATGAGCAGGGAAGTACAGAAAAGGTATGTGTTACTCTGTTAGTGCCAAAAATGTATGAATACTGTTCAGGTGTACTCAATTGCAAATATGTTCTTAATATTTCTGGCTGTCTCCATTTTGCTGCATTACTTTTGTCTCATTATCATTTTGGACATATAAAGTTTGGAGAAACCTTTTCTTTTGCAGCAAGTATACAACAATATGAATTAAGAACAGCATAGCTTTACTACATAGGTAACTAGTTAGACAAACACAATATAACGTTTGGGAGACAAAATCACCGAACTTTGTTGTCCTTGTTAGATTATGCATGAAATAGTCTGAAGTTCATCATAAATCAGTCATGAGTTTTCATTTTTTGACTATTCATTAAGAGTCATTCTTATTTCATTTCAATTCGAATGTGTTCCCTTCTTCATATCATTATTTGTGTTGTTTCTGTTGCATTTCCTTGTACCCTGTTACCTTAGGAGTAGCAAGCCCATATCTTCATGAACTCCAAAGCCATCTTAAGGTTCCGTGAAATATGGCTGGAGGGACAAGGACTTGTATTTTGTAAAAGTGTTAGGGAGGGAGAAAACGATATATTAGAAATTCATGGACTAGATGAAGTATGGAAAAGGTATATGGTAATGGATTCAAGGAAATGTTTGGAAGGTGGGTCTTGCTTCTAATAGTCATTACTTCCATGCATCAAATTTTCTGCAGAACTCTTTTTGATAGATCTGAGCGTCAGCTGGCACTTGAGTGAATTTAATTGCAGACGCATACAGGCATTGTTCATTAGTTGACGTGCAACCTTCATGGCTATGAAATATAGCTTGGTGGAGATGATGTGGTTGGTTGGTTTTTAGCTCGTTAGGAACCAAAGAGCTGGGGATGGAAGGTCAATTGCACATTTATTAATCCTCAGTGTAGATGGAGAAAAGTGTTAAACACACACACTCAATTTTGGTGAATTTTCATAAATTTTCAATTTACTTCCAAACTTCAACTTTTGTTGGTTAATCAGTAATGAGTACGTGGTTGTTCTTGTTTGAAACATTCGCATTATAAGATGCAACTTATTCCTGTCATGTGCATTTCTTGTTGATTTCAATAGATGCAAAAGTTGGAGTCATATTAGCAAGAAAAGGACTGTAGGCTAAGGGCTTCTTTGGTTGCAAAATGATTGAACTGTGAAATTAATTGTTCGTTGTTCCTTTTTATGTTTAGATCTTAAGAGAAACTTTTATATCTATGTATGTGAAAGAATTTTTCAGTGATGTGAAAATCAGATTGCATACATTCCATCCCTACTACCAGGGCAGATAATCATCATTGTCTTGGCTGTATTTCTGCAAATCACTTTATTTCTCAATTTCTATGTGTTATCACTTCTCACTCATGCATATAAACAGTAAAAGCTACGTTTTAATAAAGCAGATTTCCAAATGCAGTATCCTAGATGTGTCTTACTGCATCAGGCCATTTTGCTTATTTGGTCATTCTTGTGCTTGTACAGGGCCAAATTGATTTTAATGACAAAACTAGCTGGGAATATCTTTTCAAGGAATACTGGACTGACCTGAAAGGAAGCCTTTCTCTAACTTTGGATGAACTTGTTCATGCAAAAAACCCATGGAAAGGATCTGAAACACTAAATAGCAGACCCGATTCACCTGGCGAGCTATATGATGGTAATGTTGATGGAGGATCAGATTTGGAAGTTTCTGAAAATGAAGAATCTGGTAGTTCTAAGAAAAGAAAAGCTAAGAGAAGGTCAAAATCCCAAGCAAAGGAAACCAATTCACCTAGTATGCCAATAATACCTGATTCTCAAGGGCCATCCACGGATAACAATGTTGAGTGGGCATCTAAAGAGCTCTTGGAGTTTGTTATGCACATGAAGAATGGTGATAGAACTGTTTTATCTCAGTTTGACGTGCAGGCTCTTTTATTAGAATATATTAAAAGAAATAAGCTTCGTGATCCTCGTAGGAAAAGTCAAATCATATGTGATTCAAGACTTGAGAATTTGTTTGGAAAGCCACGTGTAGGACATTTTGAAATGTTGAAGCTCCTAGAGTCACATTTCCTCATCAGAGAAGATGTGCGGATAAATGATCTCCAAGGGAGTGTTGCCGATACTGAATCAAGTCAGTTGGAAGGTGATGGGTACACCGATGCGTCGGGAAAGACTAGGAAAGAAAAGAAACGCCGGATGCGGAAAAAAGGTGATCAGAGAGGATTGCAGTCTAACCTTGATGACTATGCAGCCATTGATATTCACAACATTAATTTAATCTACCTGAGACGTAATTTGGTGGAATATCTGATTGAAGACGAGGAGAGTTTTCATGAAAAGGTTGTTGGTTCTTTTGTGAGGATAAGAATATCAGGCAATGCACAAAAACAAGATTTATACCGGCTGGTTCAAGTTGTAGGTATGAGGAGTCGTGCCTTTACAGTTGGAAGAAATGTTAATCCTTAACCATTTGCCTCTTCTAAGAACTTGATAGAACTATAGAAGTAATGTTAAGTTCTTACAGGTACAAGCAAAGCATCTGAGCCTTATAAAGTTGGTAAAAAGATGACAGATATCTTGCTAGAGATCTTGAATTTGAACAAGACAGAAGTGATTTCAATTGATATTATCTCGAATCAAGAGTTCACAGAGGTAGTTTTAATACAAATATGGTGCTTGAATATCTTCTTAAAACTGGATTACCAGCAAAACAAGTGTAGCTATAATTTCTTCGGTACATATATTTTTGTTTAATCATTTTTTTTTTTTGTGGGTATTTTTCCTTCTTTTTTTCGGTGACGGTGGTGCTCAGGAGGAGTGCAAGCGTCTCAGACAGAGCATTAAGTGTGGAATCCTTAACCGTCTGACTGTGGTAATTTTACCTTTCTTTTTTACTTATCTTCTATTTAATTATTTATTCAAGCTTCTCATAAACAATAATATTGAGTATAAGTTCAAAGTATGTTAAAAAATCAATTCTCCCTTGTAGGGTGACCTTCAGGAGAGAGCAATGTCGCTTCAAGATGCTAGAGTTAAGGATGTAAGTATTTGTTGTTAACAGTTCTGGATTTATTTTTTTATATATGCTTCTGGAAAGTATTTGATACATCTGATCCTGGAAGAATTTGACATGGATGCATGTTTTGAAAGGAAATATTTTTTAAAGTTTCCTTTGTCCTTTAATTGGATGACCTGTTCATGTCGGCCTTCGAGTTTGCTGCAGATAACTAGTAAAGTTGTTTGTCATTGTAATGTACTATCATTATTTACCTGCTAGTCGATATCTTTTGTCTGGTCCTCCCCTTGTTTTATTTTTAGAGGAAAAATAAGATTCATCTAACTCTTGAAACATTTGAAGCTAATGCTTGTACTGACATGGCCTCTTAAGTATCCGCTACTTTTTGACAAACAATTAATGGCTTTGTTTGGATAAGGCTCTTAATTTTTTTTCCCTTTCGTTCTGTATAAGAACTTTTGCAACCAAGATTTTAAGTAGAGATAGATCAACGTTGAGTCACCATGTCAAAAACAATAAAAAGAGCATTTAAGAATTATTATGAGCAACTGACCTAAAGAAACTATAAAGAAATTAAGGTCTCACTGTGAGATCCCACATCTGTTGAAGAGGAGAACGAAACACTATTTATAAAGGTGTGGAAACCTCTCCCTAGTAGACACGTTCTAAAAATCTTGAGGAGAAGCCCGAAAAGAAAAACTCAAAGAAGACAATATTTGCTGGTGGTGTGAATTGATCTTAGGAAGATTTAGGGAACGAAACACTATTTATAAAGGTGTGGAAACCTCTCCCTAGCAGACACGTTCTAAAAATCTTGAGGAGAAGCCCGAAAAGAAAAACTCAAAGAAGACAATATTTGCTGGTGGTGTGAATTGATCTGAAAATCTTTAGGGGACTGTGATGTTAGATTGTTGATTTGCACTATGTTATGAAATAATCAGCGCCAACTGTGGTCAGCAACTCCCCAAATGTCCTCATTATGTAAATGAACATTAGTTCCTTTTTCTTGGCATCTTTTAGTTGTTAAAGTTTTTTTTTTTTTTCTTTTCATTTTTCTGGTCAGGTTGGTTGCATATAAGTAGTTTATATGTTTAAGCCAAACTATTTGTATTTTAGATACCACTTGTTTGACTTATAGTTTACTATTTCTTTGTATGTCTCCCTTCCAGTGGATGGAAACCGAGATAGTTCGACTGAGTCATCTTCGTGATCGAGCAAGTGAAAAAGGGCGTCGAAAAGAATATCCTTTTTACAACATTTTGTTGAATTATGGCTGAATTTTATTGGAAAAATCATGTTTTTTTTGGGTAAAACCTCTGCCCTCTAGGTACTTTGAAACAGATTATGGTGGGAAATTTCCATGTCCTATCTTGTTCCGTCTTAAAATAATTTGAAAATTCTTTCCTTCCACCACCTTCCATGAATCCAGACTAGATGAAAAACTTAGTCCTGCTTTTTTTGAAGGGACTACAGAACGTTAGCTGGAAGATGGAATCTATGGGAAAAGTTGAACTTTTATGTATTGGCCCGGTTCGATTACTACTTACGATTCTTGATTTCTTTGTTTTGTTACCTACTTTTTAGGAAACGTTTTTAAAATCAAGTTTTGAAAACTAAAAATTATAGTTTGTTTTTTTAATGTGGAATGCAAGTGGCAGAGATCATATTCATATAGGAGATCACTCCCTATTTCTTTGAGTGCACAACTAGAATAAAGACTACAAGATTATTAACAATTCATCTTTATTTTATTTATTTTGTTGCACGCTCTGCATGAAAATAAGATAGAGAATTCCATGATTATCTTCCTTGACTTCTCTCAACGCTTAGAGAATGTGTTGAGAAACTACAGCTTTTGAAGACACCCGAGGAGCGGCAGCGCAGACTGGAGGAGCTACCGGGAATACATACAGACCCAAATATGGATCCGAGTCATGAATCTGAAGATGAGGACGAAGCAGATGATAAGAGACAAGGTTTTTTGCTTTTCTTTTTGTTGTCAATTCACATTTCTTTTTCATTAGCTAGCTAGTATAACGTAATCGGTTTACGTGCAGAAACCTACACCTTGTCAAGAGGCTCAGGCTTTAGTAGGAGGACAAGGGAGCCAGTTTCTCCTGGAAAAGCAGGTTCAAATTTGAATGATTCCTGGAGTGGTACTAGAAACTTTTCAAGCATGAATCGGGACTTGAGCAGGAACTTGTCTGGAAAAGGCTTCTCTAACCAAGGTGAAGATGCCATTGGTTCTGGTGAAATAATAAATGAAAATTCTTGGAGCCATGGAAGGGAGGGAGATGTTAAAAAAACAAATAAGTGGGACAAGCAACAAGTTTCGCCTAGCTCAGAAATGACTGCCGGGAATGCCTCGTCTGGGGCAGCGTCTGAGTTGCCTTCTGCCGCTCGTTCGGTAAATTCAGCAGCTCCATCTGTAGGGACTACGCAAAATGCTGCTATAGTTAACGAAACAGAGAAGATTTGGCGTTATCAGGATCCATCTGGGAAAGTGCAGGGACCGTTTTCGATGGTGCAACTTCGTAAGTGGAGTAACACAGGCTATTTTCCTGCAGACTTGAGAGTATGGAGAGCCTCAGACAAGCAAGACGACTCCCTACTTCTTACCGATGTCTTAGCGGGAAAGATCCCAAAGGATACCTCATCCGTGGACAACAATATTCAAGCACACGCACATGCTTCTTCTTTCATTGCAAAGCCTCAGGGATCTACCGTGCAGTCAGGTATGGATGTTCAGAATACTGGTACTTCAAATCCACATACTAATCCAACTTCTTATGGCCAATCTGCTGGAGGAAGATGGAAATCTCAAACTGAAGTTAGCCCTACTGGTATACCCGCCTCAGCTTCGATAGAAGTCCCCAGGTACACAGGAGACCGATGGTCGTCTGACCATGGTAATAAGGACTTTACGAGTCTTCCTTCTCCTACTCCCAGCTCAGGAGGAACGAAGGAGCAGCCATTTCAAATGCCTGCACCGTTCGCCTCCTCAGGAGGTGGTGGCAGTTTGCACGGTTCTTCACTTATGCAAGGATCCGAAAACGATTCCTTGCGCTCACATTCTGGCCTGAACGCCGCAGAAAAGGGCACGGGTTTAGGTCCTATAAATGGACTTCAAAATCATCAGTCTTTGCCAGTAAGGCCTTCATCTATCATTGATGATACTTTGGTGAATCCAGCTGCAGATATTAAAAGCATTAGTGCAAATCTTCATTCTCTAGTACAATCCATCAACAGTCGCAATCCTCCTATTGAAACTAAAACTGTTGAAACAAACATTTCTTCTAGCATGCCGCCAGGACAAACTCTTCACAGGCGTTGGGGGGAGATGTCACCTGCGCAAAATGCTTCGACAGCGAGTTTTTCCACACCCGGTTTAACTAATTTTTCATCCTCTGAGCCTTGGCGATCGATGCCTCCTATTCCGAGTAACCCGCCACCACACATTCAGTCTTCAACTCCGCCTAATATACCGTGGGGAATGGGTCCTCCTGAAGGTCAAAGCAACGTTCCACGACCCGGGTTGGAGTCTCAGAACCATAGCTGGGGGCCAATGCCATCAGGAAATCCAAACATGACTTGGGCTCCATCAGCACCTCCGAATGCTACTGGTATGATGTGGGGGTCTTCAGCTCAAAGTTCTGCTTCTGTAGGTACAAACCCAGGTTGGAATGCCCCAGGTCAAGGACCACCAGTCAGAAACAACATTCAAGGATGGCAAGCGCATAGCTCCATACCACCTCAGGTAAACGCAACCCCGAGTTGGGTTGCCCCCAACCTCGGACCGATGCCACCTATGAACATGAATCCCAATTGGCATGCCCCATCAGCCAATCAGGGCATGTGGAGTAACGAACATGGTAAGAATGGGGATAGATTCTCGAACCCGGACAGTGGCTCTCACGGCGGAGATCCAGGGAACGGAGGCAAATCTTGGGGGATGCCACCATCTTATGGCGGCGGAGGTTCTTCTAGGCTTCCTTACAGTAATAAAGGGCAAAAATTGTGCAAATATCATGAAAGTGGACATTGCAAGAAAGGAGGTTCTTGTGATTACAGGCACAAGTAGAATTTAGTTGTTTGACAGTGATTAGAGAGCAATTAATTTTGTATAGTCCTATCATTATTCAGAGTTTTTCTTTGTATAAACGCCCTGTTATTAATGTTATACATGTGCTACTTTTGCAATTCTCTATTCTTGGAGGGTCTTCAGATGCAAATAATTTAAGTTTTTTTTTTTTTTTTTTTTTTTTTTTTTTTTTTTTTTTTTTTTTT